TTTTTTTTTTTTTTTTGTAGAGATGAGTTTCACTGTGTTGCCCAGGCTGGTTTCCAACTGCTGGTCTCAAGCAGTCCTCCCACCTTGGCTTCCCAAAGTGCTAGTTTTGCAGGTGTGAGTCCCTTTGCCTAGCCAACAAAGAGAACTTAACTATGAATCTAGAGCAGTGATTTTCAGTCAGTGTGCTGCAGCACACTGGTGTGTGATGAGAGGAGCTTAGGTGTGCCATGAAAACTTTTAAAGAACATTAATTTTCGAAAGAAGTCCAAAGCACAGTAAGTATATTCTTTATTTTACTCCTTTTTTTTAATCAATGTAATTTAAGTGTGCTGCACACATTTATAAATTCAAGTCTGCTGTGTGATTAAAACAAACACACACACCTGTGGCTCAAGGAGTAGGGCGCCGGTCCCATATACTGGAGGTGGTGGGCTCAAACCCAGCTTCCCAAAAACTGCAAAAAAATAATAATAATAATAACAAAATTCCAAAACTACAGATGTTGGCATGGATGTGGAGAAAAGGGAACACTTCTGCACCACTGGTGGATGCAAGCTAATATGTCCCTTTTGGAAAAAAGTATGGAGAACACTTGGGGATCTAAAAGTAGACCTGCCATTCGATACTGCAATTCCTCTACTAGGAGTATATCCGAAAGACCAAAAATCACTTTATAACAAAGATATTTTTACCAGATTGTTCATTGCAGCTCAATTCATAATAGCCAAATCATGGAAGAAGCCCAAGTTCCCATCAACCCATGAATGGATTAATAAATTGTTGTATATGTATAACAGGGAATATTATGCAGCCTTTAAAGAGATGGAGACTTTACCTCTTTTATGTTTATATGGATGGAACTGGAACATATCCTACTTAGGAAAGTATCTCAAGAATGGAGGGGAAAGTATCCAATGTACTCAGTACTATTATGAAACCAATTTACAATCACTCACACTTTCATATGAAGAACAGATCACAACTATGGCCCAGGATGAAGGAGGGAGGAGGGGGATGGGAGGAGAAGGGGGAGGTCAGATGGAGAGAAAGTGGATGGTGGGATCACACCTATGGTGCATATTGCAAGGGTATATGTTGGATCTATTAAGTATAGAGTAGAAATGTCTTAACATAATAATTAAGTAAATGAGGTGAGGGATATATTAACCAGTATAATGTAAGCATTCCAAATTGTATGTGAAATAAGCACATTGTACCACATAAATGCATTAATATATACATGATCTAACTCTTTATGATTTAATTTTTTAAAAAAAGGATGGAACACACTGGTCTAAAGTGAATACTCCAGCATTGAAAACTCCAGGGCACATAGCAGAAGCTCACAACCCTGAGGGGGAGAGGACCCATGAGTCTGACCAGCCTAGGCACCTGGAGAGGTATGAGCCCCTTCCAGTAGCCACCTGGGCAGAACCTGTGCCATCTCTTGGCTTACTCTGGAGTCCAGGGCCTGGGCCCTCCCAACTGGGAAATGAGAAGTCATTTGTGCTGCTTCCTGGGCTGGGGAGAACAGGCCAATCCTACAGGGCTACCCCACTCTTTTCTCTACCCTCTATGATATTAACCTGAAGGCCTGAGAACTTCTGCCTGAGGCTTTCTTGCCAAACTGTGTCCTCAGTTGGCTAGGAGCATACTCACACCTCCTCTGGTGTTGCCTGAGGGAGCACCGGCCACACTGGCCACACTGACCCCACACAGCACAAAGCACCCTCCTTGGCCAGCCTGGGTGCTGGGCCCCTCTTCTAGTCTTAGCCTTTGAGCATCTGGGCTGATGCCCTCAGGTGACAAGTTTTCCCTTCACTGGATTTTAAAATAAACTTGACTCCTCAGCAATTTCTGCTTCCAGAATCAAAAATAAGTGTCTCTGGGGCCCACAGTGGGGCCAAAGTGGTGGGGTTCCTAGCCATAACGGCAGCTTCCAGGAAAGCAGGACAGGGTCACCAGCAGAGGACACACTTTCACATGCACCCAGTGAGCCCCCTGAAGCTAGTGGGGAGCTTCCATGGCTCAGGGGCCTTCCTAAGGGGGTAGGGGGGTCCCACCTGGTGCCAGACACCAGGCGGCCTGCCAAGGCCTCTGCACCTGTTGGGGTCAGCTGTCAGTGCAGATCCTCACGCTCCCTGGGCTCCAGGCTCTGCTGCTATCTTTAGTTCTGTGCTTGGACTCAGTGGCAGGGCCTCCCTAAGGGGCTCTGCTCACAGTCCTGGCAGCTGTAGGGCCTTAGAGCACAGATCTCACCATGGCATTCCATACTGCTACAGCCCCGTGGGGCCCCTGCAAGGTCCCATTCAGACCCTTGCCCTTTGCTCCCCAGCACCCAGCCCAGATCCCACATCTGGGTCACGAGTTCTTCCTTCTGGCAGTCCCTCAGAGGTAGATCATGACTCCCCAGCGACCTCAACTTCAGATTATTAGCGCTGCCTGAAGACCTGCTGGCCCTGAGGACTGTGTGAGGTGGCACCTGGGGAAGCCATCTGAAACCAAGGACATCTATTGCAGTGGGCACTGGAATAGTGCCTCTGTCTTTCCAACTTTGGGCAACCCAGTTCTAGTGGCTGTGCTACCCCTTCCCCCACATAAGTCTAAGAGGCATCGCCAAGGCCTTGTTCTCCAGGATGGGGGCTACCGGCCCATGCTGCTCAAACTACAGACCTCCTCCTCAGCCTGCTAGGCCTGAAAACCCACTCAGGCCAGGGCTTCTGACCCTGAGATAACCTCCGATGTCTGGCACTACCAACAGCCCCCAGCCCAGGTCCCTTCCCCAGACTCTGCCCATGAGGCCCAAGTGTAGCAGGAAGACCTTGGCCCTGGGCGACCTGGACAAGCTGGACACCTTAAAGTGTCCACCTTCTTCTGTGCCAGGAATGTCATGCCACCAGGCCAAGGTGTGGGCTGACTATTCTCTAATACCCAGACAGGGAAGTGAGAGAGGTGACCACAGTGCCACAGAAGATCTTGATACACAGAATGTACTTGGCAAAGGCTTGGTGACCAGTCATAGGGCCACTCATAGCAATTTTGTGCAAATCTGGAAAAGGCACCCCTTCCTCTAGCAGGGCTCAGGGTTCCCAGGTGACCCTCAGCCCTGTGGGCAGAAGTGAGAACAAGTAGCTCTCCTGGTGGGGGTGGGGAGGCTGGGGGCCTTTCTGGGTGGGGCAGGGTAAAGGTGTCTGAGTCACCAACAGCTGCCAGAGAGCTCACTCTGCAGTTGTCCAGTCCCCTAGGGTGGCCCTAGGCCTGTCCTTGTAGGGAATGGCAGCGAAGTCTGAGCTGCCCTAGGGGACCAGACAGAAGTTTAAGATGGGCTGGACTGAGTGAGGAACAGCCAGACACACCACATCAGGCAGCCTGGGCATGGTGAGGGTGTCAGACAGGCACTGGGGCCAGGGCATGTGTCTGTGCACAAGTGTGCATAAGTTTGTGTTTATATTTGCCTGAGGGTGTGTTTGTGCATATGACAGCCCGGGGCAGGATGGGGGGTTCTGGCCTTCATGGAACCCCAGTGCCCAGTGCCCTGAGTCTATCTGATCCTGGGGCCCTCAGGCTGAACTGGCTTTTGCGGTGATAAGCGGAGCCCACTGTGTTCCTTCCAGGGCCTTGAGGAGCCACTGCCCTTCCCCAGACCCTGAGCTGACACCTAACACCTGAGGCTGCCCCCAGTACTAGGCTTGGGCTGGTGTGTGACTCAGTTGCCTGGCTCCTTCAGCCCCAACGGTCCTCTTCTGAGTTCAGTCTCCCAAAACTCAGGTGCCACAGATGGTTCCCCCAGCCAGCCTGGGGGCCCTCAGCTTCAGTGTTCTTGTTTCAGGCCAGCAGAAAGACCAAAAAGAAGGAGGGGGGTGCCCTTCGTGCCCAGAGAGCATCATCCAACGTCTTCTCCAACTTCGAGCAGACACAGATCCAGGAGTTCAAGGAGGTGAGGCTTCGCTTTTCACTAGGAGCCCCTTGTCCCAGAAGCTTGTGCTGGGGATACCCTTGCTGCAGAGCCAGGAGGAGTGGGAGCCTGTCCACTTGGGGGGCTGAGAACAGGGATGTGGCTGACTGGCAAGCAGCACAGCAACCCTCCTTACTTCCCAGGCCTTCACACTCATGGATCAGAACCGAGATGGCTTCATTGATAAGGAGGACCTGAAGGACACCTATGCCTCTCTGGGTGCGTGCTGGGGCAGAGCACATCATTTTTCATAGAGGAGGCGAATGAGGAATGTCTGCTGGGACACCCTCACTCTTCCTCCTTGAGTGGAGCCAGGGTATTGCCTCATATGGCTGCCCCTGGTTTGGTCAGAACTGGCAAGGAGCATCCCAGGTGGAGATAGGGTGGGTGTTGGCATAGCCCAAACATGGAATCCCAGGGTGGACTGTGGGGCAGGGGCCTCCAAAGAGGGTGAGAGACACCCCCCCCTGCAGAGCAGACCCCGAGCACTACACAGCCAGACACACTGCCTTGCCCAGCCTCTACCCCACCAGGAGATGTCCTTTTCCCAAGGCAGGAGGGCTATGACTCTGGGTACTGCCCTGGGAGCTGTGGATTGCTTCTTAGCTGAGTGGGGACAGCAGATCACCACATCTCCCAGAATTCTGTGCCTTCTCTGCCCTCTTCCTCAGCTCATGCCAGTTTTTACCCAGACAGCCTGACCAAGCACTTCTCATCCCTGCCCTGGGCACTGCTCTGGAGCTGCCTGTGCCGGTGAAACAGCAGGCACCTCAGTAAGGACCTATGGGGTGGGGTGGGGGCCTGCCCAGTGACACCCTGGACCTGTGCCCATGACAGGCAAGATCCATGTCAAGGATGATGAGCTGGATGCCATGCTCAGGGAGGCTTCTGGGCCCATCAATTTCACGATGTTCCTGAACCTCTTTGGGGAGAAACTGAATGGTGAGTGCCTGAGGCCAGCCCCCTCCTCCTTGGGTGAGGCTCTTGACACTTAAAAACCCAGGCATTTCACATAAATGTCTTAATTTCCAATCTCCTGATGGGAAGCCCTAGGACTTGGCATTCTAGGACCCACCTCAGTGGGCCCCTGCTGGCCACCTCAGAGCATGTTGAGCTTGGACACTCACTGCCTGCCCCACATCTTCTACTTGTCCAGCTGGTAAGGGCTTCTGTCCCTCACTCCTGGAGCACTCACCTTCAACTTTAGAACTGAGCTACCCCTGGGAACTTCCAAGCTGAAGTTTGATGCCCTGAGAGCAGTGCTGGTCTCCCTCCTGCCCCATTTGCCCTTGGCATTTAGGAATGCCCAGGGCTCAAGGCCTGTTTGTGGGCAGGTACCGACACCGAGGAGACCATTCTAAGCGCCTTCAAAATGCTTGACCCAGATGGCAAAGGCAGCATCAACAAGGAATAGTGAGTTCTGGGCTCTGGGCAGTATGGTGGTCTCCAAGGGCTCCCTGCTGGCCTTCCCCACGAGGGTCTGAGGGACACTCTGCCCCAGAGAGAGATGGTTGGTCCCCTGGGTACCAAACCCACTCCCCCACCTCTGACTAGCTGTAGGGCTTGAGCAGCTATCCAGGGCCTGAGTCCTTGTATAACCAAGTGGAGACCAGCCACGAGCACCCCAGGTGGCCATCCTTTCTTCAACTCATGCTCTGTCTTTAGCCCCTCTTATGGAGAGCTTCTAGTGCCCAGGGCTGGGGACAGGGACTGCCCCTGGTCCCCCCTAGTCCTCAGGTGCCCTGAAACAAGTCCTCCAGAAGCAATAACACCTGAGTGGTGACCGTGGAGGTGCCTAGGATGCCCCAGGACCATGCTTGTGGGGAAGGGTGGGAGTACAGCATGGGGCCCCACCCTCTAGTCTCCTAGAGTGCCCACTCCCACCCCTTTTCTCAGAGCCTAACCGAGCTCTTCACCTCCTCATCCTCAGCATCAAACGTCTGCTGATGTCCCAAGCTGACAAGATGACTGCAGATGAGGTTTGGCCACAACCCTCCTCCCCCACCCCCACAGCTCTCTGCCACCTGGGCTTGTGGGTCTGATGAGTTAGTGCTTGCTGGCTGCAGCACTGTGACCCGTCAAGTACCCAGTTGAGAGGCGCAACCGCTCAGAGGGCTTAGGTCAGCAGCTGGAGGCCATCCAGGGGCCAGTGCTATTTGTCCTGGTCTGAGGGACAGGGCTCACAGCAATGCGGTCCCATCCCCTTATCCCAACACCCTCCTTCACCTCAAGCACTAGCTGCACGACTGCGGCCCTCCCACCTGCTAGGACCCCATTCACTGCACACCTTACATGGCCTTCCCAACGGTACTGGACACCTGAGCACCGCTGCTCAGCTCGGGAATGGCGGAGGGACTACCAGCCAGGGTCAGGAAGAGGGTTCGGGCGGTCTGCAAACCCCCGCCCCGCCCTGCCCTGCCCCTGCAGGCCCCGCCCTCACAGGCACACGACTCTCCTTCTGGCCCCGCCTTCCTGCCCTGTCCCTGTTCCAGCCTACACGTTAGACGGTCCCTCCCACTGTCCCGGGCCTCGGACCTCCCTCGGGCCCCTCCCGCCCACACCCACCCGGCCCCCAGCGTAGAAGGGGCTGTGTTGGAGCCCAGGTTGTAATTGCTGCCTGACCTGCCCGACCGCGCGCAGGTGGAGCAGATGTTCCAGTTCGCCTCCATTGACGCAGCGGGCAACCTAGACTACAAGGCGCTGAGCTACGTGATCACCCATGGGGAGGAGAAGGAAGAATGAGGGCCGTCGGCCACGGCTGGCTCAATAAACCGGATCCACCAATAGCCTGCGAGTGTTCGCCTGGGGCATGGGCTGGGGCTGGTTCTCCTGCGGAACAGCGGAGTGGACCACTCCAGACTTGACCGTGAGGGGATATGGGGCTCCCACCCCTGCGCAGTGCCTTTGCTGCATCCTCGCCGCGCGGCTCTTGCGCTGCTTCCAGTGCAAAGATCTGTCCTAGTTGTCGGCGTCCTGCCTTGGTGATTGTCCACAGGGCAGTAGCTCTTCTCGGTACAGCCATAGGGTCTGCTCTGCTTGGGGTTGAGGGACCCTCCTGCCGTGCCCTAGGTGCCCCAAGGCCCCCTGAGTCCCCGCAGCGGGCTCTCAGCCGCCAACAGCACAGCCAAAGTGGCCAGTGCCTGCCTCTCTAACCTCTTCGCAAGACGTCCCTCCCTGCTCAGGGTCTCTGGAGCTTAGTTAGCCTCATGGAGGAGGGCGGCAGGGCCAGAAGACTGACTGGCTGGAAAGAGGAAAGAGCTGCCTCTCAGCTCCTCGCAGCTTCCAAGCTGGGAACCTTAAGGGGCAATTCAGGGTGGGACGCATGGACTTCAGCTCCTGGGCACACGTCCTGGATGGAGGGGGACATGTCAGACTTGGCTGGTAAGGGGTGTGGAAAAAGAGCACCGGGTGGCTCCTGTGACTCAGTGAATAGGGTGCTGGCCCCATATACTGAGGGTGGCAGGTTCAAACCTGGTCCCTGACAAACTGCAACAACAACAATAAAATACTTTAAAAAAAAAGAAAGAGCACCAAGACACAGCTGAAGAGGGTGCACAGGCCAGCCAGCAGCAACAGGGACCCTGACACAGGGCACAGTTCTGTCCCTCAAGCCTGAGTTCTGCACATGGGCCCACCGCCAAGTTTGGTGGCCACAGACAGGCAGATATGATCCTGACCCATGCAGACCCCACTAACCATGACCACAGAGCAACCCTGGGCACAGACCTTGTTCCCAGCCTCTGGCAGACCCTGAGGGGTGGGGGTGTTAGCAGACCTGGGTAATAAGAGCTATACACTCTGAGGTCACCAGCACAGGGTCTCAGGAAAGGGGTGTGCAGCCCCCACTTCTGACCTCTGCCCACTCCCCTGTCTGTCTCTCTTTCCTTCTGTCTGTCTCTGTCTTCCTCTCTGTGTGTCTCTCTGTCTCTGTTTCTGTGTCTCAGTTTCTCTCCCTCTCTCCCTCTCTCCTCTCCACACTCAGATCTCTGCACCCTAGCTCTTTGTCTCTCTCCATCTCTCCTTTCCACTCTCAGTTCCCTGCCACCCTCTCAGTTGCTCTGTCTCTGTTTCTTTCCTTCTCTGTGTCTCTGTCTTTGTAGTTTTCTGTTTCTCCCTCTCTTTTTCCTTCTCTGTCTTTCCTTTCCACGCTCAGATCTCTGCCACCATGTCTCTCTCTGTTTCTCTTTCCCTGGTTTTAAACAACTCACAGAGGCATTTGGGCTTTTGTCAAGGTCTGACCCAAAGGGCTCTGCCTGTTGACCTCTGACCCCACCAGCACCCACCCACCAAGAAGAGCCAATTGTGGCTGAGAGGCAGGGCATGGAGTGGAGGCTGCAGGGCTACCCCAACTGGGCAGGGTCAGCCTAGTCTCTGCTCCCCAGGGCTCCCCAAGTGATACTCACTTGCCCAGTCACACAGGTCCTCACTATGCTTGCAGGTGGAGAAGGACAATTCTGGGTAGTGCACGGTTAGTGCTATCAGTGCCACCATAATAAGCACACCTTCTGCCTGCCTGGACACACATAGCACTCAGCCCCTGCCAGTGTCACTGCCCACTCACCAATGCTGAACACTACCTTGGGAAGGGGCTGACACCTGAGCACCCATTGTGACACCAGTCATTCTAAGGGTAGCACGAGGCTATAGCTGGCGTGGGTCCTCATGGCTGGCCCAGACCTGCACATAGCAGGCGCTTAGTATGTGCTCATCCCTTGCCAGAGCAAGCAAGTTCATCAATTCATGGAAAAGGGGCCTGGACCATGCAGTCCAGGGTAGGACAAGAGGATGGTCCCTATCCCAGTGGACACTTACCCAAGCACAAAGATCAGGCCTGCAGCAGCACCCTCCCCCGCAGGGATGGCACATTCAACTGCCAGCTCCATGGCCACGGGTGCCACTGAGCAGCCAAAGAGCCCAAGTAGTGCACAGATGGCAGCCAGGGAAAGGGTCTGCCCCTGCAGCTGGGACACCTGGTGGCAGCAAATCGTGTGTGTGTAGGAGGCTCAGTCAGATCAACCAGCCCTGGGCTGTGAGGGTACAATGAAACTGCACCCCACCAGGGACCTCCCCCTGTGGGTAGGACCTAGACCTGAGAGGTCGAGACCTGGTCCACCAAGCTGCCCACTGCCCCATCCAAGCCTCACAACCCAGCCTCTCTCCCACCTTTGCTAGCTCAGGTTGGCTTAAGGGCATGCGCACCAGGGCAAAGGCCACACAGGCCACAGAGGTCAAGCAGAAGCTAATTTTGGTGGCCTTGGTGAAGCGCTTGTTCCAGTCCGCATATATGCTGAGCACCAGTGCCCCCAGAATCACAAACATGATGAACAGAGCTGCCCAGAGGCCTGAAAACTCATGGAGGAGGAGAGAGTTTGGGGGCAATCTACTGGGGTAGGGAGCCACCAGCATCCTCAGGAAATCCTGTCACCAGGCAGCTCAGGGCAGGGCCACCCTGCTATGGCTGAGGTTCCATGCACAACCACCCTGACAGCCCCAGCAGAGGGTGGGGTGGGGGGCACACTCTCCCAGAGGCAGGTGGTGGCCAGCAGGCAGGCAAGGCCAGCAGGGATGGCACAGACGCCCAGCTACAGAGAGGGTACGTGTATGCATGGAAGGCCACTCAGTCCCCATGATGCCCACCCTGCTTTGGGCCCTCAGAGGCACATTCTGCACTTTCCCCTGTCACTCTGCCCCTTTTCTGATAGCTGCTGAGTCCCAGAATCTGTGACAGCTGCTCTGCTTCATCCTCACCTGCTGCAGGGGACTGTGTGGAACCCTGGATTCCATCAGACCATCAAGGGTGACTCTGTCTGTGAAACCCTTAGCCCAATCTCCCTAAGATCCAGACTCTGCATCTAACTGCCCACTGCACATCCACCTGGAAGTAGGCCTGAACACAGTCAGGTGTGTCAGACAGGTGCAGATGCACAGGTATTCATGTGCTTACACACAAGTACATAGGTACAAACACACACACACACCATACATATGCACAAGCCCACACTTGCACAAACACAGATGTGCACCTGTACACACACACAACACGCACCACATGTGCACCATACGTATGCATAAGCCCATGCACACTCACACCACACACATGCATAGGAACACAGACACACAGCATACATGCACCATACACATGCATGTGTGCACACCACATATGTGCATGCACACCACATGTTCACATCACATGCATGCATAGATACAGCATACACAACACACAAACAACACACACATGCATGTGTGTGTGCACACAGCACACATAGGCACCACTGAACACTCACCATTATGGAAATGTCCTCACCCTTCCTAACCAATGCAGGTGATAGCACGTTAGCCAAGGATGCCCAGGGTGTTGGGTGGATGGACAGAGAAGTACATCAGCTTCACTGGCCAGGGCACAGGTGGAGCCCACCTGGCTCTAGTCCCTTGCCTCAGTGGAGAGTCAGAGCAGCAGAGGATCTCAGCATGGAACCAGAGGAGACCCAGGGCAGAACTCAGGTGGGCAGATGGCCTCACTCTTGGACTCACACATTGTGGCAATCATGTTGGCCATGACTCACTGGTGTTCTGGGAACCACAAGGCAGCCAACTTGACTGGAGAGAAGATGACCAGAGTCTGGGCCACGGCACAGAGGCTCTGGCCACCCATTAAGAAGGTGAATGGGTGGAGGGTCCCAATAGCCACACAGGGCAGTGTGCACAGCACAGTCCCAGTGAAGTTCAGCCATGCACCCAAGATGGTCTGCGGGGACAGGATAAGGAATGCTGCCACCAGAGTGGGCACCCCTAGGTCCCCAGTTGCCCACCCTCCCACAGCCCAAACCCCCAGCCTCCTTGCTACCTGGCTGATGGTGGACCCTGGTCTGGAGAGGAGGCAGTGGCTCCCACACCCAAATACAAGGGACCCTTCCTCATCCCAGAGTGAGTTGTTGTGTGTATAGAGTCTGACTCACTGCCCAGCAAAGCCCAACAGAATCCAGCATCCAGATGGCCACCCTGCTGAATGGGATGGACATCACCAGATAGACCAGTGATAGCCAATTGATCAGTTCCATGGACAGGAAGAAGTGCTCAGCAACAGTGTTGGCGACGGGTGCAAAGCTGAGCCATAGCTTCAGGGAGCACAGAGGAATCAGCCCCAGGGTCCACAGACATCCGTCAGGCTCTGGCCCAGCCTCCTGCTGCCCTCAGTTTGGCTGTCCAAACTATGGAGGCCTATAAAAGCCTTGGGGACATAGCCCAATCCAGACACAGAGATTTCTGTCTGAGGACACTCCCAGCGGTGGCAGGGTCAGAAATCATGCCCTGATTGTGGACTCTGACTATGAACCAGCCTGCAGGACCATGAGCCCCACCAGGACCAGACCTGACCCTCTAAGGCAGTTGGTAGCTGCCAGCATGGTGAGCTGCAGTAGGAGATGCTATGTGGAAGGTGGGAGCAAAGGGGCAGGCCGTGAGCAGGGAGAGACAGCCCAGAACACCTAGTGGCCTGGAGCTCAGGAGGCAGGGGGGAGAGAAGCTAGGCCCTGGTGCCCAGTCATAAGGACACATCATGTGTAGAGAAGGGCAGGGCTGGGCTGGGGAGCATGTTCTGGGAGACTCTGAGGTCCAGAAAGTAGTGGAGATGTTGTAGCAGATGCTCAAGTAGATGAGGGCAGAAGGGATGGGGGGGCAGATCCATGCAGGACAGCTGGCAGCAGTGTCCAGGGGTAGGAGGGACCTCAGAGCTTTGCTTTAGT